CAGCCACTGTCACGACAGAAAGGTCATATTCTTTTTAAACTAGATCACATTATCGTTTATAAGATACGTTGTTAACAATGCATGTAAACGTCAATATTTACGTAACAGCCAATTTACAGTATGTTTTTCTCTTTGGAAATGGCAAATTGCTATTTCATTTGCATTATTTGTTGCCAATGAAGCCACACGACCATATAAACGAGGAGGCCCCTAACCGTCGATTTCGACGGGTTTCACCTAGTTTAATTATTAAATCACTACTTACAACTTCCAAGAGATGTTATGTTTTCGTTTATAATCTTCATAGCTACTGATTTTGATGCAACAACTTATTGTCCCAACCACTAACTCATTGTTTAATCAATTAAATTGGTCAGCAGCTGATTAAGTTGACGTTCGAAGCGTTACAATTTTATTTATTTTATCTCATTACTTGAACCTCATTGGTCCGTTACTCATGTTGTAAAGTTCAACAACAATGCTGTTAAACTATCCGCTACAGTTCAGTACATAGAGTTGAAATGATTCACTTAACATCATCGTTTACTTACTTAACACCATTGTTTTAACAACACGAGTAGCGGACCAAATTGGTCAGCAGCTGATAAAGTTGACGTTCGAAGCATTACAATTTTATTTATTTTCTCTCAATACTTGAACCTCATTGGTCCGTTACTCATGTTGTAAAATTAAACAACAATGCTGTTAAACTATCCGCTACAGTTCAGTACATAGAATTGAAATGATTCACTTAACAGCATTGTTTACTTACTTAACAGCATTGTTTTACTTAACAACACGAGTAGCGGACCAATGAGGTTCAAGGATTGAGAGAAAAGAAGTAAAATTGTAATGCATCGAACATCAACTAATCAGCTGATTAGTTGATCGATGCATTTTACTTCTTTTCTCTCAGTTAAGACAGCTCAGTTTTAACAGCTGTTAAGAGTCTTCCTTAGTGGTAGCCATGTTGGATTTCTTCCCCATAAGAACAATGTTAAACATTACATCATTTGTGGACACGTAACGGCGTTATTTGTTAAGATATAGCTTTGAAATTTATAATTTGTATTTTTAACATAATAGACTCGTGACTGAGGTTTTTGAATTTCGAAAATCCATTTTCATTTCCTTTCAATAATTAGCTTAATTTTAAGCTAATTAATAATCAATTATTCATTATAAAAATTAAAAATTGTGAAATAAAAAACGTCAATCTCTAGAGGACCGTAATTCCTTAAATTTAACTCCTTATCCATAATTATATGACAATTTGCTGATGAGATATTTGGACCCAAAGTTAACATTGTTCTTATGGGGAAGAAATCCAACATGGTTTCTACTAAGGAAGACTCTTAAGACCAATTTGTTAATTAATGATGCTATTAGTGACGTTATCATTCATGCATATTACTGATCTGCGTTTTCGTTTGTCGTACAACTAAATGAACAACGCGCTGTGATCATTCGCAAACTGAACAGGGACGTGCAGTACAGACAGACAGCTGCCCTTCCTTTCTATTCTAGACCTTCCTAGAATGCATCAGCCCCTATGTGGGGTGTAGCGGTGTAGGGTAGCCAGTACGTCGTTGGTCCTAGTGCAACAATCATTCAGGCAATAGCAGTAGACAAAGTGATAGGCATAAGTGATAAATTCAAAACGAATTGACCGCAGAAACAGTATGGTATTGTTATCATAGTGCAACCTTCATTCAAGTGATATCAGTAGACAAAGTGTCAAGTTATGGATTCAAAACAAAGTGTCCGCGGAAACAGTATGGGATTGTGTTATTTGTTGGAACAGCTGTTGGCTAACTGGACCAAATCCGAGGAAAAAACTGACTGTAGTGAAGTGGTTTTTGAGGAGAAAAAGAACACTTTGAATCCCTGCCCGTGTGGATATAAGAGGAGGAAAACTGGTTAGTCGAACTTTATTTTTGGAGTTGTTGATTATAAAATAGTATATAGTCTACTAATAAATGCTGATATATTATGAAAAATATCTTTTCATGAAAAGTATATTCGCTTTCTATTTGCATAATAGTTCAATGTGACGAAAAACGTGGTTTATCACAAAGGGCAAAACGTGTCTTTTCGCCCTAGTGATGAAATATACCATTTACCATTAACGGTACCGTAAAATCGCATAAAAACAAATATGAACGTACAGTAATACAAAGCTGGTACCTGCGGAATGTTATACATTACCGTTTACAGAAATCCGTGGAGTAATTGTTGGTTTCGCACTGGTCTCCCCTATATAAAAACAAACCCCCAACATGTAAGACTACATAGGTTGAGCTAGCCATTGGGTAACTTCAATTATAAATACAGTACAATAGTCAAGCTGAAAGTAAACTTAATTTATGCCACAACAATCCCAACAGTGCATAACGCTCAGGGACATACGAGTTCACCTTGAGAGCTCTCGATGTTTTGCCTGTGCAGTACAAATGTCAACAATAAAAAGGGGAAGTGGGCCAGGGAGGGGAGAACAAAACAGGTGGGGTGAGTTGAGATGGTTGAGACAAAAAGGGGGTGGGGGACGCCCCATCCGTGACGCGTCTATTGCACTCGGATAACCTCAGCACGATACAGACTAAATTGAATTTGTTATCTTTCGTCATTTTAAAAGAGAAGAAAGTTTTTAAATAAAAGTATTAACCAAACATTTTTAATAACTGAGAAAATAGATAACAAGTAAAAAATAAAATAAAAAATAAGGTGAAGTGAAGGAGGGTCAGATTACCATGCATAAATGGATAAAAATAAATAAAAGGGTTTGTTATCATTTCTATAGGTATACAATTGTTGTGTCCTTCACTTTCTGCCATTTATTTATGAATATAAGTACATTCAAGTGGGGGACCCTCAATATAATATTCTGTTTCAGCAATAAATTTAGAATAAAATGATGTAATAAGTATTTTCATGCAGCAATCCGTTTGGGTGCAGCAGCAAAAATTTTCAAATTTTCGGTTTTTGCAAATTACAAATTTTGAAAGCAACCCACAATAATGCAAAGGAAAAAATCCTACACATTTGATTCAAATGTAAAGGTTGTGACAGATTCATTCCCCTACGTCAAAATATCAATATATTTAATAAGCTCATAAAAATAAAAAGTTATAAAATGTTTTCCTAAAAGATTTTTTCCTAAAAATGCAATCCCCCCCCCGGGCCATTTAGAAAATACAGTATAACAATTTTATCTGAAGTAAAAAGAGGGTGGGGGACTCCCCATCCGTGACGCGTCTATTGCACTCGGATAACCTCAGCACGATACAGACTAAATTGAATCTGTTATCTTTCGTCATTTTAAAAGAGGAGAAAGTTTTTAAATAAAAGTATTAACCAAACATTAAAATAACTGAGAAAATAGATAACAAGTAAAAAATAAAATAAAAAATAAGGTGAAGTGAAGCAGCGTCGGATTACACCATGCATAAATGGATAAGAATAAATAAAAGGGTTTGTTATCATTTCTATAGGTATACAATTGTTGTGTCCTTCACTTTCTGCCATTTATTTATGAATATAAGTACATTCAAGTGGGGGACCCTCAATATAATATTCTGTTTCAGCAATAAATTTAGAATAAAATGATGTAATAAGTATTTTCATGCAGCAATCCGTTTGGGTGCAGCAGCAAAAATTTTCAAATTTTCGGTTTTTGCAAATTACAAATTTTGAAAGCAACCCACAATAATGCAAAGGAAAAAATCCTACACATTTGATTCAAATGTAAAGGTTGTTACAGATTCATTCCCCTACGTCAAAATATCAATATATTTAATAAGCTCATAAAAATAAAAAGTTATAAAATGTTTTCCTAAAAGATTTTTTTCCTAAAAATGCAATCCCCCCCCCGGGCCATTTAGAAAATACAGTATAACAATTTTATCTGAAGTAAATACATGTCATCATTTTTTGAAAGAAAATAAAAAGTTCTTTCAGGAACACCCGTTTTTATTTACCAATTGCATGATTTTCGTCTCCCGCCAGAATGCAAATTGGAATCACATGTTTTTAGAATACTCCAACTTCTCCCATATTTTGTTATTTTTCCTACTACTCGCAGCCTTTCGTTGCTTCCCTGAACATTTCTGCATTTCATTATTTTTTTCGAATGCTTGAAATACTTTTTAAGAATGTATTTATTACATGTTCATACATATTCTCAGTTCCTAATGTCATAATTCTTTAATTTCAATCAATATTTTATCGTCGCTATTCCGTTAGTTCGTTATTTCATTTTATGTCTTAACGACAACCGGTATTGCTGCATCATTTGGATTCCACGATTAATGTCTCCATGGCATTCATCGTGTCCTTTCTTTCCTCGCATACTTTATTATTTTTACACATTATGTCCTAGATTACATTTATGTAATGAAAATCGTTTAGTTCCCCCTTCTACTTTTAATTTCTTCTGCAAAACCTCTCATTGCATGTTCTTCACCATCTCGTATGTTCCTGCCAACGTTTTGTCTTGATAAACGTACCTCACCTTAACCTAATGTTATCATGTTTTTTTTCCTTCCTTTACACTGACTTCTTCGCAATCACTAACTTTTCCTCTTTTCTATCTCCTCGACAGTTCCAATCAGTGGGCTCATTCCTCAATTAGTCTCTTCTAGAACTTTTTTCTTCTTCAGTCTTGGCCGATAACACATCCTCTTTTTCCTCTTCTTCTTCTTGAGTTCTTTAATGCCACTCCACCACCTTTACTTTATCAGTTTTTCCATACCCCTCGGATTCTGTATTATGTCTACTTTGTTCCATCACATCATTCTTTTCCTTTATTTTCCATTGAATACCTTGTGAGTAGGTACATGAACTGATTCCACCATGTGGCAGTTCCTCGGTATCATTTGGATTTTGTGTATACTTCTTCTTTCTCTCCCCTCAATCGTTTCCCGATTTGTTTAATGTTATCTTCCTCGGTACAACTGTCAGTTCACTCTACTTCAACTGATGTGCACGTTTCTGTGTTCCAGTGTCTCCAGGCTGTTCTCGCACCACCCCAGTCAGCCTGAGACCCGCCTCCCAGGTGAAGAGGGAAGCCACCACCCCCGGTCCCGCCGCCTCCACACCTGCCCTCGCCCCGGGACACACCCCGTGTCAGGTGGCCGAGGTCACCACGTCCGTGGTCAAGGTCAAACAGGAGGTGTTGGATCCGCCCCCGTCGTCGTTGCCAACTCCTGGTAAGGGAATAGAAATCCAACCCTTCCTGAATACTCAATTTCTGTTTGTAGTGTGTATTCATATGGTCCTATGGTTTTAGTTAACTTCTTTTTTAGTAGTGGCCGAGGTCCAACTCTAATCCAGTTGTATTCTCGATTCCTGATACAGTAATATTAATAACGTTTTAATTTGGATTTTTGGCATCATTATATGTGTCATGGGGACCTTTAAATAAGAAATTTCCTGAATTCAACCTCATCAAGAGAAAATCAGCAACCAGCCTAAGCAGATGGTAATCTGATGAGCCGACCTATGTACAGTATTGCATTCTGTCGTTTGTAACGGAACGGAGCAATATCATTTTTGTCTCCATGTGTGAAGGGAAAATATAATTTGAAAGGTCGTAAACTCGTTGTCGCCTCGAGAAGATCCATGTATCTGAATTCCACCAAATTGTCGTGATTTTTTACCCAAAATGTATTTAGTTTAGTCTCCACACAAAATATTCGTTTCAACGAACCGGTAAGGACAAAATAGGACTACATTGTTTTGTTGTTGGTTAGTAATGTCAAAACCGAAACTAATTATCAAATACTGTACGGTACCTCACATTTTCGGGTCTATTGGTGTAGAAAGAAATTACTGTTGAATGTGAAGCAAACCTTGCGATATTCTTACTCCATTTTATAGTTCTTGTCCTCGCATCAACATGTAAAGCATGGTTACGCTGAGTAATATATTAATTGATACATTTCCGCATTGGAAGTTCGATTTTGTTCATGAATTGAAATATTTCTTTGGTTTATCAGCAATTACAGAATGTCTATTCAACAAGTACAACTGATAAACAATTCGTGCGTGTAACCACCTGTAGACATCACCCGACGTTTCCGAAGGCTCCAGTAGTTATCTTAGTTCTCGGTCGACGGCTGTTGGGTCGATGTGCACTAACCGTAAACGCTCTTGGAAATTTTCCCCAACAAAATCCGTAATGGAAAGTCCTCATGGCCAACATAAACACGCTAGTGCTATAGTGGTAGTGCGTCAGCTAGGCCGTGGTGGGTGGGGGAGGGGGGAGATGCCCGGGACTGGGACTGATCAATACAGAGTGTGGTCTATGGACCGCCCCCGCAGTCCTGCACAGACAACACTACGTAGGGTACCGACCGTAGGGTACACACTACACACAGCTCACCAGGGATACTCGATTTAGTTTAATTGCTGTGTAGCGGAGTGGTTATAGTGCTCGCCTGGTAATCATAGGGTAACCGGTTCATTCTGGAGGATTATCAGATACTTTTTGATGGTTCGAAAAACTGTCTTTGGGACGAAATAAAATAATGGTCCTGACCAAGAAACCAATTGATCTAAATCAGTCATCTAGGCCTAACCATTATCATTTCTCCACTAATCTTCGCCCTTTAGCGTGTTAGTGTTTTATAAGTTTATCGATTATTTAGAAATTAAATTTCAATTGATCCTAAGAATAAATTATGCCAAAAAGAGTTTGACATACTGCAGCAAAAGCGAAGGTTGTCTAGGCCCTACGTTGTGGGCAAAAGTAGTATTTTTTACACTATCACTATCACAACAAAGAATCAGTTGTATTTGAGGATATCAGCTGTTTATGTTCCTCCATGTTGTAAACTTACATGATGCATAATCAAAATTGAGACTTTTGGGATGGTCAGTGATCGCTGTTACAAAAATATTGTCACGTTGTCGGATATTTTTATTTTGCCTATACGATTAACCGATTACGTGTAAAAAACACAAAACAACCAAAATGTTCTACTTCACCTATCCTTTGAGCAATTGAGCATACATCCATCTGGATTGTCTGATCACAAATGCGCTTTATTTTATGCAAGCTCTCCATTGTGCCATCCATTGTATCCATAGTAAATTGACTCATACTCATCACAGTTATATGTTCAATCCGAATAGTCAAAGTTCTCAAATAAATGTTTCATTTGAATGCACGCTTCCTACCTACTTTTCGACAATTATAAACAGGTGAAAAGTATACTCATTTACTTCATACAAACATGCGTATTCGTATTGTCTACAAAAGATATACAAAACCTAGAATTCGCCTATCATCCTATTGCAGCCGTTGGAACCAGAGAGCACTGGTTGGAACCTAATCACAAAGTGATAATGACTATCATTACAGCTGATTTGTTTTGTCTTCTCTGATGTTTCCGTTCAGAGTAAACAGACGACGCTTTCCGCGTTTCCACCAATGTGATACTTTTTACGGTAGCAAACACTGATTCCGGCAAAAATGGTCTAAAGTTATTTTTATTTGATAGTAGCTTTTCCCGCTCTTCCCAACGGCGTGTAAACAAATAATGTATGCTTTATTCCTCAGCGGATATTTAGATAAATTTTGACACAGATAATAGAACCGTACTGTGATTTAGATCACTACCAGCACAGAAAAACGAAGTATGGCCGGAAGTATTCTTCCTTCGCATGGCCACGATCACAATACGGGAAGCGCATACAGCAGCCTAGCTCGTCCGAAATAGAGGCCTAGAACCTAGAACGTTGGACACGAGCCATGCTTTGGCTTATTTGGGCCTCCGTGTCTTCCCTATATTGTAAATTGGGGTTGTGCAGAGCCGGGCCGGGCGCATATAGACGAGGCCGGAGAAAAAACACTGATGTTTTGCACATGTGGTGGAAGTTGTAAAAGTTTTGATTTCATTCAAACAAAACGGGAATAATCTAGTGTTGTATGTACCTCTTTTTGCTTAATGGACATTTTTCAGTTATTCTGTAATTTATTCAGGGAAATTAATTATTTTGACCTTCGATATAATCTTCCTTATGTATTTTGTTACACTTTTGTTGTTGCTTTCTATAGTTGTTTCACAAATGTACTCAACTAACTGCAGGAATCCTGTATTTTCCTGTACAAATTGTGAATCTGTTAACAAATAAATAAACAAATACACATAGCCTATTAAAAACATAGTCTAGAATACAATTAAAATACCGTAGGGTTAGTACAGTATATGTACAATCATTTAGTATTCAAAAGTTAACTACGTTACGGTTTTTTCCACGATGCTTGGCACAGTCATGTATACAGGATTTGTATAAAATATTTCAAAATTATATCCTATAAATACCATATTTCCTGCGGGAATATAAATTAAAAATAACATGTGCTAACTTATAGTTTATTGATTCTACACTAAACCGTGTATTTCAGCATTAGTTATCGTGCATATCTGTTTATATGGTTGATATTCGTTGATTCGGTTTATAAACTACAAACTGACATGAAACCCTATTACCAAAAAGCAAGAACTTTAAAAGCCCGTTGCTATTTATTATTTCTGAATCTTTTCGTTGTTTTAAATTACAAGATACAAATGACCCATTCACCATGAAATAAGTGATTCATTTGTTACAAATTATATGGTCAGAGACGGAACTGTCGACAACTAATGCATAAAAATCATTCGTTTTTTGTAATATAGGCCTACATTTGCATAAATAGCAAAATGTTTTGTTTTGGGCCAAATCCATTCAAAATAAATTATTTTAGAGGCGAAATTTAAAATGTTATTTATTATATTTAATACTAAAGTGCATACTCCAGCTTGACTAGCTTCTTTATCATAGTATAATTATATATATATATATATATATCATATATTTATCATATATATATATATATATATATGCATGATCTGCTAGAAACACGCCTCTGACAACATTGAAGACACAATACAGTATTTAGTTAAAAAATAACGTGTTTATTTCACAAATTGAGACTCTATACAATGAAGGACGATTTTGATGTATACATAAGACACGGTATTTGGAGCCACTATAACAATAATCCTCACGAATACTAGAAAAATACCGGTACGGATCATAAACATAAACAAATGACGTTTTTGGCCCAAAAATAAACATTATTTAACATTGCTTATTTTTCTAGTAGTCGTGATAACCCTGTACCTTTTACCCCTATCTCCTACACTCCATTGTCCTGTACATATTATTTACAGTTAGTGTGCGGACTTTCACTAAGGTCTACCCTCTGTTACAGCCACGACGGCGCCGCCTGTACAGCCCCAGCTCCAGGGCGGCATCCCTGTGGGCATCGCCGTGGCTCGCCAGAGGTCGCAGACACAGGAAGTCAGACTCAAGGAGGATCCTGTTGTACCACCACTAGGTAGGTTGATTTACCTGATTATTTCGTGTCATTATTGTCACTTAGAAACAACGCCCACTCTAGGATTACATTGTAAAAATACATAAAAGACCTACCTAATAATATCATTCAATTAGTCTTAATCAAACGACTCCTTTTGCGTTTAATTAAATGAAATGAATATTTTCAAAGTAGTCCTTATCCTGGGTAGTGTTAAAACCATATTTCTTTTTAGATGTGATTTCTAATAGGCTACTGTCAATGAACTCAGTTGCAAATGTGTTCTTCCAAGGGAACGTTTGGTTCTAAATCTTTACTAGAGGTTTTCTAAGGGATTTTTCTATTTCAATATACAGTACAATCGACATTTATTTTTTTTCATCTTCAAATGTTTCGCGGATTTGATTAGACCCTGTAATGAATTCAATTCGTAAACATAATTTTTGTAGTAATTTCTAGATGCCAAAAATACGATTATTTGTAAAGCTTGTATAATTATATATCATGTTTCTAATATCGGGTACAGTTTGTTTTATGATTTTAAAATAAGCGCAGTATTTTATATGTAATGCTCTCCTACGCTTAGTTATAGTATATAAATATTATTCATGTTTCTCGGATTAAATTGCATGTAGCACGATAATAAAGCACTGAATGCATGAAAATGGGACGAGACGTCTAACTGCTTGGTTCATGGTGTCAAACGAAAGGTAGAATGTTTATAGGTACAGTATTTGTATTTTTGCTGGACGAAGCGCCTGTCTACTAAAACCACTTCAGTACGGGTTATAGATTGCCCTTTGGTACATTTTAACGAGTAGATAATTAAAGGGGTCTGCGTGACGTATTATAATAGCCTAGCGTGACGTGATTATGTCTTAATTATGTCATGTCGTCATCACTGTTAGTTGCTTCCCGTGCTGCCAGATCAGCGAAGTCGTAGTCACTACACAATTATGTCGTAATCACTGTTACTTCCCTGGCTGCCCGATGAGCGAAGTCGTCGTCACTACACAATTATGTCGTCATCACTGTTGATTCCCTGGCTGCCTGATGAGCGAACTCGTCGTCACTACACAATTATGTCGTCATCACTGTTGATTCCCTGGCTGCCTGATGAGCGAACTCGTCGTCACTACACAATTATGTCGTAATCACTGTTGATTCCCTGGCTGCCTGATGAGCGAACTCGTCGTCACTACACAATTATGTCGTCATCACTGTTGATTCCCTGGCTGCCTGATGAGCGAACTCGTCGTCACTACACAATTATGTCGTCATCACTGTTGATTCCCTGGCTGCCTGATGAGCGAACTCGTCGTCACTACACAATTATGTCGTAATCACTGTTGATTCCCTGGCTGCCTGATGAGCGAACTCGTCGTCACTACACAATTATGTCGTAATCACTGTTGATTCCCTGGCTGCCTGATGAGCGAACTCGTCGTCACTACACAATTATGTCGTCATCACTGTTGATTCCCTGGCTGCCTGATGAGCGAACTCGTCGTCACTACACAATTATGTCGTCATCACTGTTACTTCCCTGGCTGCCTGATGAGCGAACTCGTCGTCACTACACAATTATGTCGTCATCACTGTTGATTCCCTGGCTGCCTGATGAGCGAACTCGTCGTCACTACACAATTATGTCGTCATCACTGTTGATTCCCTGGCTGCCTGATGAGCGAACTCGTCGTCACTACACAATTATGTCGTCATCACTGTTACTTCCCTGGCTGCCTGATGAGCGAACTCGTCGTCACTACACAATTATGTCGTCATCACTGTTGATTCCCTGGCTGCCTGATGAGCGAACTCGTCGTCACTACACAATTATGTCGTAATCACTGTTGATTCCCTGGCTGCCTGATGAGCGAACTCGTCGTCACTACACAATTATGTCGTCATCACTGTTGATTCCCTGGCTGCCTGATGAGCGAACTCGTCGTCACTACACAATTATGTCGTCATCACTGTTGATTCCCTGGCTGCCTGATGAGCGAACTCGTCGTCACTACACAATTATGTCGTCATCACTGTTGATTCCCTGGCTGCCTGATGAGCGAACTCGTCGTCACTACACAATTATGTCGTAATCACTGTTGATTCCCTGGCTGCCTGATGAGCGAACTCGTCGTCACTACACAATTATGTCGTCATCACTGTTGATTCCCTGGCTGCCTGATGAGCGAACTCGTCGTCACTACACAATTATGTCGTCATCACTGTTGATTCCCTGGCTGCCTGATGAGCGAACTCGTCGTCACTACACAATTATGTCGTAATCACTGTTGATTCCCTGGCTGCCTGATGAGCGAACTCGTCGTCACTACACAATTATGTCGTAATCACTGTTGATTCCCTGGCTGCCTGATGAGCGAACTCGTCGTCACTACACAATTATGTCGTCATCACTGTTGATTCCCTGGCTGCCTGATGAGCGAACTCGTCGTCACTACACAATTATGTCGTCATCACTGTTACTTCCCTGGCTGCCCGATGAGCGAAGTCGTCGTCGCTACAAAATTTTGTCGTCATCACTGTTACTTTCTGGCTGCCTGATGAGCGAACTTGTCGTCACTACACAATTATGTCATAATCACTGTTACTTCCCTGGCTGCCCGATGAGCAAAATCGTCGTCACTACAAAATTTTGTCGTCATCACTGTTAATTCCCTGGATGCCTCATAGGAAAAGGCAAACATACTATCGATACAAACGAGTCGCTTGTCGTCTAAGTAAATGTGGACAACATTCCTTGGGTAAACAAATTATTTTATCTCCCTAAACCATAACTTCTGATGTAGCGATGCAAACTTTTCCCACGTGTACAGGATTTCTCTCGACAGTGGCTGACAATACTCAACTTTGACTTTATATTTTTCACAATGAAAAGCGCAACGGAACGTGCAATTAATTTGTCATCGCTCATTGTTTCGTGGGACCCTCAATTTGGGAAATGATCGCAAAACGATTTGATTAATTGAATCGCGAGAGATAACAATTCGGACGGAAGAGATGGTGAAATGATACACAAATAATTGCATCCGTGGAGTTAAAAATAGAAACATCATCTCCTGCTTAGTGGTTATAATTGAAATCTGCTTTTCGTTAGTTCTGTGTAAATATTGCCTCTTGACAAACCATTTCAAATGTCACGACTCTATAATTTTAGATTATTGGTTGATTTTTAATTTGGCATTTAATCCAACGCATTCCTTTAGTTGGGTTCACTTTAAATGTACTTGACTGACTGCGAATGCACTGTACCATAGATAAAGGAGTAGACACTCATTTTATCTATGATTGTACTTCGTTTGTAACCCCCCATTATCAACTACTGGACGTCCTAACATCGTCAGTGAGCAGCGAGCACGGAATGTAAATGCTGTATAATTTCTACTCTGCTCTCTGGCAGTGAGTGGGCTTAGCATTGACTTTTGGATTATGAAGAAAGTAGACATCCAATCTGTATGGATCAGCTGTTGCGTATTTTTTTGTTATCAAAAGAGCATAGTTGACAAGTCACAACTCACACTTAGAAAATGCTACAGTTTAAAAAATTTGCGTTAGTGTTTTGTTTCTGAGATAGTTGATGTGATTTAGGCCTAAAAGATCCTAGGCTAGGAGGTTCAGTTAACAGCTTACCATAATTTATGTTTTATTCGGCAAAAAGTTGGTGTTATTCTATACATATTATAAAAAATTTACCCTACATCAGCGCACTTGATCTTCTTTCAGCCGTTCAATGTACATTGAACATATATTTAATTTTGGCGAAATTATCAATATATCAGATTGACGGTACATTTTAGGCCTATGTTTAAACTGTATATGTAAAAATTAAACGATTTACATAATTAAATAGGTACCATTAAGTTACCAATGTACAGTATACAGTACTCCCTGGGTTTATAATTCTATAAGTTACCCTGTCTATAAATAACACTCCGCGAGCATTATATGTGAGTGCCGCGATTGTATGAAGGTATTGTATGAACTAATACGATTTAAAAGGTCACCGACCCTGCGGTGTGTCGTGTGTGTTCGTGTTGGTGTTGGTATAAAAAATACACAAACCTGAGTTCAGTATTTGAATCGTGTGTATTTTATTTAATGTAAAACGTGTGTACAAAGGTTACTGTTAAATATCTAATCAATAAAATGGTTACGGTGGTGTCGGTGTTGAACCGGGTGACGGTATAAAAGCTACAACTCATGGCCATGGTGTGATTAAAACAATAATTAAATCAGAAAATGGAATATAAGGCTACTAAATGGATGGAATGGTATGCCTCAGGGATATATAATGGGACCGCTATACCGGGCGGGTTTAGGGCTTATCATGCTTATGGTGTTGCGTATAAGGCATGCCAAGCGATTACAGGCCTAAGTGAACACGGTTCGAATGTGTTTTATAGCTGTTTTGGCGTGCGAGCGACCGACCAATCACACGCCGCTGTGGACCACGCCCCCCGCCCTTCCACCACTGGCCCCGCCCTCCTACTGGCACGGTGAGTTGTTGATGCGGCTATCGATTGTCACACAGGTGGTATCGAAAATCTCCATCGATATTCAATCAGCATCTTTTGCCACTTGCAAGGATTTATTATATTTTATACAAATAATTAATTATTTATTTAGTGTTTAGGGTTATTTATTATCTACAAAAGTTTGCGGCAATAGATTTGGTTTCGTTTAATTTTGTGCATAGGCCATTGCCCCACTTATTGGCTTAGCATCCAGTTGTTTATGCTCGTATCAAAAACCCAACCCACTAAACTAAAGATTAAACAATATAAGATAGGCAATATTTTTATCAAGCAATAACTTGAACGAACACAGTCCCTTGTATCGTCGGAGATAATAATTATACTATGCCGCAATCAGAGTAATAACGCTAAATCAAGTGACTAGATATGATCTTAAAATTAAACCAGGAATAAATTTAGTAGTTTACTCAAATAACCTTATCACATCAAATCCTATCATTGCTAGATTTAAATACAGTACATACGAGTATTAACGTCAAGTATATAGGTAAACTTAAATAAGTTTTTATCTCCAAGGAAATCAGATAATTCCAACTCTCGTGACATTTACAATCAGGGAGATTTTTATATCTTGGATACAATAGTTTTCTTGAAATACGGGAGGTCTAGCATTGAAAATTAATATTAGGCCTACTTGTTAACAAGTTAACTTGCAGTGCTATCAAACTCACAAGAGCTATTTCTTGCAAACCTAAAGTAGTTTTAAAATTACACTGATGAAAGAGAAAGAGTGCTGCCTATCATAATAATAATATAATTATTATTATCATAATATAATGTTTGTGTACGGAATCGACTGTAGGGAAATCATGCATCTACAAATATTTGTAAGATAGATTAAACCATCTAAATACAAACCCTTAACAATTAATAAGTAATGTTCCCTAAACTAATATACACAATTTAGTATAGGGAATTAGACATGGAAATTATAATATTTAGTATGACTCTTACAATTTTATAAACGGAAGACTCTTTAAACTAGTTTTTACCAATAAAACTCATTACACCCAGTGTCATGTCATTATCAGGTTAAACGTCATAGAAGAGTCTTATTCAAACATATCTAAATCTAATTCCGTAAGCCCAAAATTTGACAATGAAATTGTGAGTGAACGGGAGGCCGTAGAAAGCTGGGAGAGGTCTCATTTTAAAGGTCTGGGCATGAAATTTTGGGGGAAAATATTCATTTTTCTTAATTATGCACCGAAACGTTGTTACGGAATAAAATAATTCACATTTAAATAGCATTGGAATCTATGTAATGTCTGCTTTGTTTACTTTAAAACATGTGGTTTAACTTTATTTTAATCATATGGTAATATGTAATTATACTTTTTCCCAATTTTAAGGGTCTGGATTATAATGAAGTACGATTGGTTGTGTTATTTATGTTGAATAAAATGTTAAGTTAGAAGTAATTACTGGAGTAGGCAAAGGGAATACATTTTTTATGCTAAAAATAAAACTCATATCTACAGATCCTAATATGCCGTTTAAGTTTATAAGGATTCAATTCCTAATGCGATTAGCTTTCGCTATTACTTATTATTAAAGCGCAAGGCCAAACCTTCACAAAAGTTGGTATTTATTTGAAAAAATGGGGAAAAAACAGTGTTTACCCATAGTCAACTTTACGTTTCTTTTAGCCGGGTAAAGCGGCCAGATGATGATAAAATAGTACTAGAACCAAATGAAGACCAAGGAATCGGCCAAAATGGATACCATACGACAAATGGTTTTTTTTTTCAGAGAGATTTTTTTATAGAATTAGCATTTTACAATTTGGAGGATGGCATTATCTCTATGTGTTTTATCTAAGTGAATTTGTCTATATTCAAAAGAAATTTATATATATTTAATTAATAGTCATGAAGATTATTGTAAATGTTCCTTAGTTGTATTATGATTAGAAAGTTTATATTATAAACACAACTCATGATCAGTCCTTTGGAATTTTTATTTTAAACAGAGCAGACCTCAAAATGCATTATGCAGGTATGTGATAACTATTATACATATTACTGTATAATATACAAAAATGTTAAACGATATTTCAAGGTAGTGTAACCCATCAGACTAATAACATTTGTACAAAATAATAACTATATATAGGGGCTATTGCTCCTACAAGCCACTAGTACTACTGTATACATACGACACCTCTTCCACGTTAAATCTTAATTACAGTATGAACAACAACAACAACCTAGTGTGGGGAATAACCGTCAATTACATTGTTTGCAATAATTATAGTTGTGTCCTTTTAATCGCCAAAGGATTATACTCTTTTATAAAGATATCATTTTGAAGATTCACGAGTAATGTTAAGAGATCGCTTTTCTTTTCGGTAACGAGGGGTTGGAGCAAAAACGCAAAAACTACGAACGTTGTAGATACTGTAGGCCTTGATACAATCAAGGTATCATATATGCAAATCGTGTTCTTACCTCTGTTGGAAACTGGCAGCCAGCGTTACTTCGTGACTTCAAAATCCGTCATACTGTATTAGCATCAATAAAACATACTATGAAAACACAAAATCTAACGCAAGTCATTTTCGTCTTTACATTTTTCTACAAATATCATAACAATATTTCATTTGTATTCACTAAAACATCACCAACTGTAAAGATAACCCCATTTTCGTATGGATGTAAAAAAAATTGTATCATGGCCATCTGTTTTGATGTAAACAAAATGTAAACTTGAAAAAGTTCAGATGATTAAAAACTCAATTCAGCACAAACTCTGGACGAAGAGCTTTTACGGGGTATCATCCAAACCCGCAATTGGCATGTCTAGACGATAAGAGCTATATATTGATACCCATATGTCAATAAAAATAAATATTCAGGAGTCGATTTGCTGAATACAAAAATCCAACAAGTTCTTAATATAGATATTTATGTATGCGTTCACAACTCAGCTGAGGCTTTTTTCCTGCGGTTCTTCTCTTCCCTCGTGTTAGTTCTGGTTCTTACAAGCACTCAATTATCAGGAGAACGAACCAGAATCGTTGCTAAAGGTCAAACATAAATCATGAAAATTCCCAACGAATAAATAACCTTAATTAGAGGAACGCCGTCGGTTGCGCGATCACCATTTCGCAATATCGAAGTGGCAGCGATGTCTCGAAGTCTGTGTACCTCAGCGAAGGCGCTACCATCGATTATGTAGATATAAAGTCAATGATAATATATTGTATGCTATAAAATAGTGTGTAGAATCATAGATGAAAGGAGTAGACGCTCTCCTTTAATATTTCTACTCCATTAATCTACGGTAGATTGGTTTTGATCTATGGTTTAATCAATAGTGCTACTCGCAAGTATTTTGATTTATTTTGTGAAATACTGCACTGCGTGGTACTGCTATCCTATATCCATAGCGAAGCAAAGCCCTTCAAAATGATATCACTGTGACAAAGTTATCGAGTCGTTAAAGGCTTTTAAACCCAGGTCATTACAGTAATCCCCATTTCTTTGTCCTAACTTAAAGAATCTCTGTCTTAACGGCCCATAAGTGATAGATTTTTAAAATTTCTAAAATCACAAATGTCCTATAATAAATAGTTCTAAAGTTTGTTATACTTCGTAGAAAACATGAGTGAGGCGTAAAAACCACACTGTTATCGTTAATCAATTGATTTGATAAAAAAGTCTAAAAGCTAGATTGTAATTAACTTCGTTTGGGTTTTGTAATGATTGGTAGCTTTCAGTATAATAAGTGGCATACAAAGCAGTTTGAAATGTATAAGAAAACGAGATAGGCTTAATTTTATGGTTCTCGCCACCCTAAGTTGAGGCAGCCAAAGGCCGCACTAGATATCGATATACGCCGTGCGGCCTTGGGCTGCCTCAACTTAGGGTGGCGAGGACTATAGAAGTTAATCCTCCGACTGTACATTTGGTCCAACCCTTTTCATGAATGTATGAATCATAACAAGTTGATGAACACAGAACACAAAATATCTCCGTCTCTCACTCTTCGCTGTTTTAACACAAACGATGAAATTTGTATTTCTACCACTATGCACAGGCGGTAGTAGGCTAGTGGTTTGTATTCATTGGTTTGGGCTACGTGTACATTATTCATTCTGTGGTGTTAATTTTTAAACGATTACACGGTTAAAGTAGTAATGGAAAATGTGTTCATCGACTAACTTTATGTCAAGTTCCATTAGGACTCTTGTTTGAATACTCAACGTTTTCTCACTGTGATAGTCATTTGTCATTAAATGTATACTATTGTAGATTGAAGGCCACCACGGGCAAATTAACAAATGTGTACTTTTCTTTGAAATTTGCTGAATGATGTTATAAACCTATGAAGGAAATTTTCAGCGAATCCTTCTTGAAAGAAAGTTACACAATTGTGATATTTATGCTAAGTTGCTACCGAAACAAACACTGTCAAATTCAGTTTGTTTATTTCTATGTAGGCCTATTTGTAAACCATTTTTGTCACCACTAAGAATAAGGTAAACTAATAGTGATACCACTATAAATGAATACATTTTGAAAAAGGCTATTTGTTTACAAAATCTGCAGTTTAATTAGGACTTGGACAAAAAGTTTACCAGAACGAGGACACTGGTATCACCACAATGGTAACAATGGTTGATCGTTTTTTTCTTGTAAAGAACTACACAAACAACTAACAACTATATAAACATTAATTGTTTATATCGTCGCTTGTAGGCTACCACTCATTATGCACACTTTTGTACACAGCACTTCAACTGCTCATAGTTAAATTAACAGATAGTTGCGTGTACAAGAGCAATAGCCCCGTCACCTGTCACATATTGTACACTGTTCACTGAACTTTGCCAACTTCTGGTCTTTATGCAGGATCACATAATTCATTTATGCTGGTTCATTGACCAGCATCGCCATCAGTCGATTTAATTGTCAATGTAAACCCGCCGTTGTCGTTGATTGTTATTGCCGACCTGA